TGGTGGTATTTTTCCTGTAGCAGATCTACTCTAAAAAATTGTACTTTCCAATTAAAATAATTTTGAAAAATAAAAATTATGATAATAGGTAACCTAAAACTAACTTCCTCAGAATAATATTCCTATTAATACTGATAAAACCAAATTTAAAGCTTAATTTTATCCACTTGACATACAGATAACAAATGAATTTTAGCATAAAAAGCATGACTTACTTAAAGCATTGGTGAACTCTAGTTTATTATTTAATAGCAAGTCAAATATTTTATTCATTCTAGTAAGGCAGTAATGAGCAAACATGTCTTACTAGAAAAAAGAAAATTAGCTATGGCCCTTGCAAGAGGAAAGAATATACCTGCACATTAGAATTTCCCTAATTAGACATTTCACTTAAAGGTGTCTTTAGAAGATGCCTTATAATTAAATATCTACAACTGTAATCCTTGCCAGGCCCTTATATGATGTTCATCCAATGAGTATATTTCTTTCACATACCATTTAACAATTTGTATCTCTCTTGCTTATTGATTTCCAACATAAATGATGTGATTTTGATCATCTAAAACTAACAAGGTATTTGTTTTAAAGATTCATAAAAGTGACAATTTTTAAATTAATCACTAACTTGAATTTCTTACAATGAGGTTTCAAAGTTATGCAATAGCAAATATGTGTCACTTTCTTGTCTTTTGTTATGAAACCACCATTTTATGCAAAGCAGTGACAGTAGCTGACCTTGCGCAACATAAGTTCCATTTTTAGAATTTATTGTCTGAACTAGCTAGCTAAAATTATGAGACACTTTGAGCTGAGCGTCTCGTGTGTGTGCCGGTACTCCCATCCCAAATACACGCTTAATCCATATACTTGTTCCAGTTGGAATCCTGTTTTTGTCTCAGGCTGACCAGGAAGCAGGATGAAACCCTATTTTCACCAAAAAGCATTAGTAAGTTATTCTTGCATTAAAAGCATTGGGGGAGTGGGGGGGGAAATGTATATTTTATTAAAGATTTTCTTGGGAGATGATGGTGACTTATATCACACATTGTAAAATATTTCACTACAAAACTTTCCTTACTTTTATTTCCATTAATGACAGACTAGATAGTTTGAAACCAACCACCACCTGAGTGTTAACTAGAAAAGCTAGACAATGAACAGAACACCCCGCCCCCAGCCACACACACACACGAGTTAGGATGAGATGGAAAGAGACCAGTCTAAGAGAGACCTAACCCCAGATTGAAATCGTCTTAATTTTTATTGGATCAGGATGATTTGGATGCTTATAGCTCCCAGCCCAGTCTGCTGTAGAGGCAAATTTAATCTCCTCTGAATGTAAGCTGTAAGCAACAACTTTATATTGGTTATCAATGACACAGTTTAAACGTAAGAATACAGAAAGGTTGAATATAATTGTATGGATGAAGTGAAAATTCTAATGTAAAGGAAGCTAGTGTAGCTTTTATAACATCAGACCTAGCAGACTTTAACCCATAAAATGAAATTGACACATTATACTGATCCATCAATTATTACGAGGTCTTTGTTTTCTGCTCTACTAATTAAAAGAATAAATGAAATCAAATATTAAAAAACATTTTTAGGGGAAAATTTGACTATTTTGATGTTGCAGTTTGGGAAATTGAACTCTTCATAGAATAGAACTAGGGGCTGTTTTCCCTTTGAAAGCCTGATAAATTCTTTATAAAAATATTTATAGAACAGTTTTTGGATTGTTTGTGGGTTTTTATTTAATTACTAGAGGCCTGGTGCACAAAATTCGTACATGGGGGTGGGGGTGGGGGTGGTGTTCTTCAGCCCAGTCTGCACCCTCTCGTAATCTGGGACCCCTCGGGGGATGTCCGACTGCCAGTTTAGGCCCGATCCTGCAGGACATCCCTCTCGCAATCCGTGACTGCTGGTTCCTAACTACTCACCTGCCTGCCTGCCTGATCGCCCCTAACCACCTCTTCTTTGCCCCCTGCCTCTGCAGCTTCATCCGGAAGGATGTCCGGAATGGTGTTTGGAAAGTCGTTCGGCTGTCTGGTCTAATTAGCATATTACGCTTTTATTATTATAGATATATATTCTTTCTTTCACTTTCTACTGATAAATGTATCATAAAGTAAATGCTTAAAAGTGAGAAAAAAATATTGAATGTTAACAAATGTTATTGAACCCATTTATCCAAGGTATAAGATTGTAACATAAAGTTTCTGTTTTCTGGTTCAAAAAGAGCATACTACTGGCAATTTCCTATGATCTCACCTAATAATTATTGTCCAGGATATATTTCAGCACTCATTTTGAAGTTGTTACATTTCTAAATAATCAATATAGGTGTTTTGTTTTGAATAATATACTAATTCTTTATCCTTCTACTATTTTATATAAGCTGTAGACCACATAGATTACTTAGGACCCTAAGTATTTTACTCTTCACATTAAAAATCTGATAATTTTTCCTTCTGCTATCTCTTTTTAGATACAGCATTCCTCTAAATTTTAAAACTACTTTTTATTCTTTGCTAAATATAGTGAGCTTTAGCTTCTCGGTATTTTTGGCAGGGGCTTTGTGGGGGGTGCCCTACATAGAAGTATGGTGTAAGGTCTGTCACCAATGGCCTAAGCTAGACTGTGGCTCTGCCAAACCATCAACTTCTCTGTGCCTCAGTTTACAAATCTGTGGAATGCTACTAACAGTCTTTCCCCCTTCAAAGAATTATTGTGAAGCTTAAATGCACTAACAACGGTGTTAAAAATGGCCTGGGATGTGGCAAGTATTAAAGAAATGTTAGCAAATATTGTTATAGAACACCAGGGGCCCAGTGCATGAATTCGTGCACCTTGAAAGGAACTGTGGGCTGTAAGGCTGCAGTGGGCACAGGGGCGGGTCTTGGCCCATCCTCCGCACCACCACCTGGCCCCTCATGCTGTGGACCTGGTCCCCTGTCTTCCAGCAGCCCTGCTCCCACCACCACCACTCCCATGAGCTGATGGTGTCGGCCCCACTTGCACCCGCTGACAGTGCAGAGCGATTGGGGCCAGTGCCAGCAGCGGGTGCGAGCAGAGCTGGCACTGTCAGCGGATGCAAGCAGCAGCTGCTGCCCCGATCGCCCCTCAGGAGCAGGGGGAGGTGGAGAAGCCCTCAGGGACAATTAGGGCCGGCAGCCGCTGCTCACACCCGCTGATGGTACTGAGCAATCAGGGCTGGAATCGGGTGCCAGCAGCAGGTGTGAGAGCCAGGTGGGACCACTGCAGGTGGGAGCAAAGAATTTTCAGTAACCACCAGAGGCTTGCCTGGATGACAGTGACTGGCACCCCGCCTTGGCCATGTTCTGCGCTCTGCTGCCTAATGCTGACACCCACCAAGTTCTGCGTGCACCCCCTGGTGGTCAGTGCATGTCATAGTGACCAGTTGTTCGGTTGTTCTGCTGTTCGGTCTATTTGCATATTAGCCTTTTATTATATAGGATACTTGATAAATTGACTATCGATGGTCATAGAACATCTTATGAAAAAGGAAGGTGAGAGCAAAAATCTGCAAATATGATCTGAGATGAATCTTAAAAAGGGTAAGCTTTTGAAGTCAGACTGAACAGATCTATATAAAAGTGTTTGCCCTTGGTAACTTAATATTGCTCTCCTGGACAAAAAAGTAGCCACCTTTCCGGCGGTTGTGAGTTGAGAAGTAAGGTATGTAGTTTCGGGACCCTGTTTGCCTGCGGGAGTGAGAGCATTCATCCACGGTGCGTGTCAGCATCTGGATGCTTTCTGCTGGCTGTGCATACTAGCTATTGCTCGCTGCAAAAGTGATTTCCTATCTAAACAGGATTCTGCATCTGCACTGAAATGAATCTTCACTACATCCTACATTTTGCAAATAGCAACAAAAGCACATTAAAATCCATCTGGCATGGCTTTCAGTGACAAAAGATGGGAAAGATTGACATCTAGTGGTGGTCCAGTAGTATCGCATAAAATGTTAATCCAGTCAAATATATTAATATACAGGTTGTCCCCAAAAATGTACACACACTTTAGCAGCTGGTTCTATTACAATTTGAAAATGAAATGTATTTTAACAAACACTGCTTTTATAATTATTCAAAGTGTGTGTGCATACATTTTTGGGAACACCCTGTGGTTGTATTTTGCTTCACATAGGCTGTCCTAAAAAAAAATTCATATAAAGCAAGTTTATGTTATTATTTATAAGATATAACTATTGAAATTTATTGTAATCATTTAAAAATAACGCCCTTATAAATGTTGCCACCTAGGTAATATTTTTTCATTTTTTATTTTAAATCACATATTAATTCCACATTTCTCTATAATTTCATATAAACTGTGAACTTCATAGTTTACTAGCACTTTCTGAGATTATTATATTATTCACATTAAAATAAATAAAGATAACATTTTTTATTGGTCTTCTTGTAAAGTAGTTACTGGTAAAATACACTTAAATGTATAGAGGGGTTCAATGCATTTTAAAATAGAAGTTTTTAATTTTAGAACAGTTTTAAATGTACAGAAAAGTTGCTTCCTATTATCAACATTTCCTATTATTATGGTACATTTGTCACAATTAATGAACCAACAATGATGCATAGTTATGAACTGAACTCTATTTCATTCCAGTTTCACCAACGTATTAGTGTTCTCCAGAGAACTGGAACCACTAAGATGCATCTATATCCAGGTCTACAGCACATCTTTATCCTTACTTACAGATTTACATATATATATATATATAGAGAGAGAGAGAGAGAGAGAGAGAGAGAGAGAGAGAGAGAGAGAGAGATAGGTGGCTAGCACTGGTCTGGACAGACCTTCCCACCCAGACAGCAGGGGGAGGGGGAAGGACGGCCCTTGCTCCCTGGAGGCCAGGAGAGGCCCCTGGAGCTGGTGCCAAGAGGCTGAGCGACCTTCAGCCAAAGCGCAGGTCACGGGAATGTGAAATCTGGCCTCTGGCGGCGGGAAAGGGAACCGCGTGCTCTCCCGGAGGTCAGGGTCCTGGGAAAGGGGGAGGTGGGGAGGGTGGGAAGTGGGCGGATGGGG